TGAAGCACTTACTGATGAAGAACAGAGACTATAGCCTTCAGTATAGATTACACCTCAACATAAAGAAAACAAAAATTCTCACAAGTGGACTAAGAAGCAACATCATGATAAATGGAGAAAAGTTTGAAGTTGTCAAGGATTTAATTTTCCTTGGATCCACAATCAACACCCATGGAAGCAGCAGTCAAGGAATCAGAAAACATATTGCACTGGGCAAATGTGCTGCAAAAGCCCTCTATAAAATGTTAAAGTGAAAAGATGTCACTGTGAAGACTAAGGTACACCTGACCCAAGCCATTGTCTTTCCAGTAGCCTCAGATGTATGGGAGAACTGGACAGTGAGTAAGGATGATCACAGAAGAATTGATGCATTTGTATTGTGGTGATGGCAAAGAATACTGAATCAACTATGGACTGCTAAAGGAACAAATCTATCTAGGAGGAAGTACAGCCAGAACACTCTTTAGAAGCGAGAATGGCCAGACTTCACCTCTTGTACTTTGGTCATGGTTTCAACAGGGACCAGTCCCTGGAGAAGGATATCATGCTAGGTAAAGTAGAGACTCAGTATAAAAGGGGAAGACCCTCAATGAGACAGACTGACACAGTGGCTGCAGCGATCAGCTCAAGTATGGCAATGAGTGTGAGGATGGTGCAGGACCGGGCAGTGTTTCATTCTGTCATACACAGGATCATGATGAGTCAAAACAGACTCAATGGCACCTAACAACAACAACCACAACAAGGAAGATCTGGCCTGTAGAAACTGGTATGAAACAGGCAAGTGTGTAAGCAAGATGAGAGAAGAGCATTTATAGCATCAAAATGTATAGTTTATAAGAACAAATGTTTTCAGACAATAAGAAGCACAATTAGAATCGTTACAAGCTAGGATCTTCGAGAACTGCATTCCTTTTCTTCTTCTGGCTGGATTGGCTTTTAATTGTTTACAAAGATCAGGTTTATAAAAGGAAACTGGTCACTATGGAAACAGATTCTTCAATATCAAACAGGCAGTTTCACCACAAAAGGGTAATTACATTAGTTTTTCCCTTAATTGTATGTTTTCCATAATCATATACCCTTTTGATCAGAAATTTCAGTCAGTTAATGATGAACACAGGCAAAATCACTAGTTTATAGCTATTTCCCCTGGGTTGCTAACTATCAGGATACCACAGACTCTGATGTTTTGGGACTTTAATACTCTGCATTTTCTTGGGGTGTACTAATTGCCCAATTTCTGGAGCCAGGCTAAATCTAAATGAATAGGTGTCTCCATCTTTTCTGTCATAGCTGAATTCCTTTAGTTTAGAACATGCCAGTTCCATGTCCCTTGTCAATCTTTATTCTAGACTGCTGTTAAAATCTAAAGCTCTATCAGAGTAAACAAGAAGAAAAATGTAGACTTTAAAGAAATTTGTCACCAAAACGCTAAACAAAATTCATGCAAATTCTTACAATGCAAGTTTCTCCTTTAGTTCATTATTCTAGATTTTTAAATTCAGGATGCACTCAGATTGAAATAACTGTTCTTTCACTCACCTTATCCAGAAAAGCTTGTACCGATGCTTCCCGATTCTCCTCGTCCGCGATGTATCTGTGTCTCCCGATGGAAGCAATTATCTGGGTCTCTTTTTCCAGAAGTTCACACAAAGCTGCTTTTCTTTCAGCTCCAGTGAAAGTTAGGCTAATGCGTGCCTGTTCTTCCTGATGCCAGACTAGAGGGATAACATGAAGATCCTTGAGTTTTTCAAATCTCACATCTTTACAGAGCACTTCCTTTTTGCCATCATATCCTGATAACGGGTATTTTACTTTTATAAAATGGTAAAGAATATTAGACATAAATGTTATCATTCAGATTGAATATCTAATTTATGGGAGAGAAAAAGGATTAAATGAAAGCTGAGAGACTTGAATCAAATGAATGAAGAGTCAAACAGAAGAAGGCAGAGGCAGATTATTCCCAGGGAAGCATAACACTTCCCCAGGGAATCACCATGAGAATTGCAGGCTGAGAAAGAAAGATATGGCCTGGGCTCTGGAGCGACCTGGCTGCTAGGTGACAGGTGAGAAGTGAGTCCACCCAGAGCCACGCTGGAACAAAGGTCTGCTGCTGTTTCTAAAAAATCAGCCACTGAAACCCTAGGACACAGCTCTGCTCTGACACACACAGGGTCACCGGGCGTCCGAGTCAACTAGACGGCAACTCTTTGTTTTTTATGGTGCATACAGAAGTGAGAAAGATGTAGCCCTTTCTTGAAGGAATGAGCATTTTCATACTTCTTCCTGGGGGCAGATTGTAGACTCCTTCTGCAAGGGCGAGATTTCTGCTTCTCTTTCCACTCACCAAAAGCCCAACACTTTCCACCATTAGGTTTAAACACTTCCTCTGGGGAGGTCTCTTCTTCACGCTGGATTACTTCCTGTGGTAGTTAGGGCTGTGTGTCAACTTGACTGTGCCGTCACTTTGAGTAACTTGGCAGCCGAATGCAGTTATTCCCCATGATGAGATTGCGTGGTGGAATCTACTGTGAGCAGCTAATTAGTTGCCTTCAGGGTATGGCCTGCTTCCATTATATATGGGGAAAGCTTTGAGGAAGGTCTCTAGCTTTTCGGTACATCTGAATCCTGCATTTGGCCTAGTCTTCATCTCCAGTTCCCGGACTTGAACCGTGAACTGAGGTATTCCTGTTGATCTTGGGATTGGGCCATTCTACTTGTTAACTGTGGGTTTGCCAGCCTCAGCAGCCAGCAGCTGCATGAGTTGTGAGAAAGAAGCCTCCAGCTCCAGTGGGCCTGGAATAAGAGGCCGAGGTAAAGCCCAAGGTCGAGGGGCCTTCACTCAGCCCCTAGAGTCCACACTCTGAATTTGGACTCCCAGCCTCCCCAACTGTAGGAGAATAAATTCCTCCAACCCACACCTGGGCCTGGGTTCCAGCCAAAGAAAAGACAGGCATAGGAGCTGAACATTTACCTGAGGTAGATACATTCCTTGGAGAGAATAATCATGGGAGAAAGAAGGGCTGCTTATGCACAGGGAAACAGCTCAGGGGGCAGGAGTGCATGGAGGGATGGACACAGGGAAGAGGTAACCACCAGGAATAAGTGGGAGGGGAGCTGCTGCACTGTGGTCAATTATGGTCAATGTCATGAGACAAAGTGTATCTGAACTGCTATGCTGTTGTTGTTGTTGTTATGTGCCATCGAGTCGGCCCCAACTCATAGCGACCCCTCCTTGGGTTTCCAAGGCAGTGTTACTACGGAAGTAGATTGCCCCATCTCCCTTCCGAGGAGTGGCTGGTGGGTTTGAACCTCCAGGCTTCTAGTTAGCAGTCAAGTGCCTTAGCTACTATGCTGAATTTGTAAATCTTCACCCAAATCACAATAATAAATAAAGAGAAGAAATTCCTGTTTGTTGAAGCCATTCACTTGTGGTATTTCTGTTACAGCAGCACTAGAGAACCAAGACACCTCCCCATTTCCTGAATTAGATATGATTCTATTTAATAAAATGTACCCTTCCATTGTTTTATTCCAGACACATTTCCCTTCTCATCAAGTGACAGGGCCACTTCAGAATATATTACAGTTATATAAAATTTATACAGTTGGAAATTAAATTTGCTCTCTTCTATTGAAATTCCAGGTTTACTTTAGCATCAATCTCTGTGCACTGGAATATCAGTATCTGAAGCCGTAAGTTCTGTTTCTGGCCCTCTTCCGTCGTAACCGCTGCCTTCTGTGATACCTAGTATTACAGTTTTACCAGAGTCTTTCCTCCTTCTCACAAATTTTAATTTAAAATCATCCTGATCAGGTCAAGGACTTGCCAGTCATATTCTTTATGAGAATCGACTCTGTCCTTTACCAGGAAGACATTAGTCAGACACGGTACAGCTTGGTCTGTCCAGCCAAGAGGATTTGTAAATTTAAAAACTAAACTATGGTCAGCAAAAGGCTTGAAAGATGAAGAGCTAAATTATGCTATGCAAGCTCAGGAAATCCATGATTGACGAATTTGTCATGTAAGAGTAATTTTACTAATAAGTAGAAATTTGTTTTAAAAAATGATGAAAATCCATAAACCAAAAAGCAGCATACAGAAGAAGAGAAAAACTGCTCGCCGGCAAAATAATAATGAGAACATTTACCTTATAGATACCTTATATTTAGATGTTTCTGAAAAGAAAATGAAAGTGAATGACAGTTAGTAAGCATATTCCACTTCCCAGTTAGAAACCTTTGGATTTGGAATACATTTAGGCCACTAGGATGTTATTTAAGATATTATGGCAGCCTCAAAGAGCAATCGGCCACTCTCTTAGGTCAATACTAAAATCCTGGGTGAGTCTGGAAATATATATATAAGTTTGTATTTAAATACCATATCCATATGTATCAGGTATACATATAATTTTATTAAGTTCTTCAAGCTCTTTTTGTGGAAAATGTGGTTAGATTTAACATTTTGGTTAGATTATTAGTATTAAAAAGCAAACAACCCCACCAAGCTAATTAGGGATGAAAATAAGGGACCTTAAATCCAATAACATTCTCTACTAGAAGAGCAACATGCCTGTAAATCTCCAGGATGGGATAGAATATGCTAGCACAAAAACACCACGCCTCATCCACTAATGATGTTGTTATTGTTATGTGCCGTCAAGTTGACTTGACTCATAGTGACCCCTCCTTGGGTTTCCAAGGCAGTATCACTACGGAAGTAGATTGCCCAAACTTCCTTCTAAGTACTAGAAAAGCCCAGTTTATAGGAGCAGGTGGGTAAAGCTGATTGTCTGTCTGATCTGATCTGACAGTTTCCAGAACTATCCAGAGAAGACACTATGCAAGAAAAACAAGAGATCCTGCCCCCTTTCATAAAATGTATGGTTCCTAGAGATGATGATAAATTAAACAAAAAAATGTGAAATGCCAATAAACAGCAATATTTTTTAAGCAAAATATATTAAAGGAATTTGTTCATTTGGAAGAAAAAATTCACTTTGTTTCCTTAACCCCTCTCCTTGGAAAAATCATCTAATTACTAACCTCCGAAGTCCATCATATATAAAAAGAAAAAAAAAAAAAGGCTAGTATCTAAAGTCCATGTTCATTCTAAACTTTCTGAAGTCTAAAATTATAATTTCCAAGTAAGAGTTAGCAGAGTTTCCAACATGGCACACAAATTGGCAGCCTCTATGCAGCTGTATTTTCAAAGGTTCATCACAGACTGGAAGGAAGCCTGAATGGACAAACCCAGTCAAGGCTCAGAGCAAACACCCAGGACAGACATGTTGAGGGCGTGGGCCCAGGTGGTCCCAGAAGCTGGAAATCAAGGCACCTTGAGATCAGAATGTAATGATTAGAGTCAGAAAACAAAGTTAACGCAAAGCAAAGGGCTGGAAATTAATTCAACAAACATTTACTAGACATAATGAGCAAGGGCCTCTCAGGTCCACAGGTACAAAGGCGAAAAGCTAAGAAAGTGGTGTGTACAGAGCTGGGGCAAGGAGAAGGGGCTAGGAGCCCAATGCATGCTATCAGGCAGGTTTCCTGAAGGAGATCGCCATGCTGTGTCTGAGATAACAGTCACCCAGGTAAGGAAGGATATTCCAGCTGAAGCGCAGGGCATGAGCCACAAGTGCAGGGAGCTACATAGCAGCTCAGTGCACGGGCTCTGGAGAGATGCAGCAGGCTCAAGGAGCCCGTCTCCTCTCTAGGGAGCCATGGGCGTGGTTATGTAGGTGAAGAAAACCAGTGAGGGTTCTGAGTCACTTCACATATTTGGTAAATCCTGCTGCCACAGTATGGCCAGCCCATCATCTGAGACTGATAGGAGGGATAGATTCAGATGTAGTTAAACTATGGAAGCAGAGATCAAGATCCCCAACAGTGATAATAAGTCTTGAATCTGATCTACTATATTACACAGTTAAAATTATTCTCAGGGAGCTCTGGTAGCGTAGTGGCTAAGGCACTTGACTGCTAACCAGCAGGCTGGCGGTTCAAACCCACCAGCCACTCCCCGGAAGGAAGGTTGGGCAATCCTACTTCCGTAGTGATACTGCCTCGGAAACCCAAGGAGGGGTCGCTATGAGTCAGGGCTGACTCGACGGCACATAACAACAACAACAAAATTATTCTCATAAATTGATTTCATTTTAGCTTTAATTACTGAAAAAAACAAAACAACCAAACTCACTGCTGGCAAGTCGGATCCAACTCATAGCGACCCCTCCTGTGTTTCCGAGGCGGTATCACTCCACAGCAGTTGAGTTTGGTTTTTTTAATTAACTGAAGGAGAGATGGTTGTTGTTATGTGCCATCGAGTCAGACCTGACTCATAGTGACCCCTCCTTGGCTTTCTGAGGCGGTATCACTACGGAAGTAGATTGCCCAACCTTCCTTCCCAAGGAGTGGCTGGTGGGTTTGAATCGCCACCCTTCTGGTTAGCAGTCAAGTGCCTTAGGCACTATGCTACCAGAGGTTATCTGGAAGAAAAGTTTCATGTGAGTTGTACTTCAAAGTATGCAATTGTCACTATTAGCCACAAGAGGGCAGCAATTTCAAAGACTGAGACAGAATTGTTGTTGTTGTTATGTGCTGTCGAGTCGGCCCGACTCATAGCGACCCCTCCTTGGGTTTCCGAGGCAGTATCACTACGGAAGTAGGATTGCCCAACCTTCCTTCCGAGGAGTGGCTGGTGGGTTTGAAC